GAGCAGGACATAATAATAATAATAATAATAATAATAATAATAATTCAGTTTAATTGTTGTTTATGTTCCTGCAAATAATATTAGTAACAATTATACCATATTTAAAAATCGATTGAGGCGAACATTCCTTGCTCCGAATACGTCAACATCCCTGCGAACAACATTAGCAACAGTAATAAATGTAAAGCTATCCCTGTAACAAGCCGTGGAGGCCCAGAAGGTTGTGAGACGTCGAGGCTCCCATATTTTCTCTAGAAAATCGGCTCACAGATGGCGGTAAGGTTGTCAGCCTTACGTTCCGGCCTCCCTGTCTACCCACAGGAAGATTCCTGGTACCCATTTCTGTTAACGGCTGAGTGGACCCCAGGACCATAGTGAGGCTGTAAGGATTAGACCAAATGAAAAATCCAAGGAGCCCATCGGGCTTCTAGCACAATGCCTCAACCAATAAGCAATAATAATAATAATTCAATTCGTGTTTATTTACGTGCAAACTTAACAGTACAGTGGCCAATTACAAAGTTAGCACGAGTACACAGAAATATAAAAAATAATTAAAGAGCAAAATACAAAATACGACTGTCTATATAATAGCAATAAATTAATAACAATGTTATATTTTAGCGTCCTGTTGCACTGATTTAAGTCCATGATTTATTTCACCGTCTTCTAGTGCATACACTTATCTACCTCACTCCTCTTTCTCGCACTACATGTTTCGGCACAAAAGTGCCATCTTCAGGTTAATCGAATAAGCACCTGAAGATGGCACTTTTGTGCCGAAACATGTAGTGCGAGAGAAAGGAGTGAGGTAGATAAGTGTATGCACTAGAAGACGGTGAAATAAATCATGGAATTAATAACAATTCCAAGAAAAATATATATTAAGAATAATACTAATATAAATATTTAATTCTCATTTTTTATTTACTTGCTATCTTATCAGCCAAAGGCCAAATACAAATTAAACACATATAAAGATAAAAAACATAACAAGAAAATGTATGTAATTTGAATAATAATAATAATAACAATTTCTTAATACGAATAAAATTTGTCATTTAGAACTGAGAAGAGTAAAATATATACATTTACAATGAGCACATTATTTTAATGATTAGAAGCATCAAGGCTAATGTAAAATATATGAGAGCGAGAAACAATTTAGCTTTTAATTATATTAATTAATAAATTATATATTTATTTACGTGTTTATATAACAGTCCAAAGTCCAATTAAATAATGACAAAGACCATATGCAATATTTACAATTGCATATATAAAAA